CCAAGTATTTTGCTGATGTTGTATAAGGAATTCGGGTATCATTTATTCTAACTGGGAAATTTTCTATTTTTTTATTTGTAAAGTTAATGTGTGCAGATTTAGTCTCATTTAATTTTATTCGCCATTTTCTGGTCCAGTTATGTATTTTATTTACTGATAGTTGCAATTTATCAGTCGCTTCTTCACTAGTGTCTCCTATCGCTAGTATGGCTGTATCATCCGCGAAGGTGGCAATAGTATTTTGTTCTAACTCTGGAATGTCACACGTATACAATAGGTACAGCACCGGACCTAAGACACTTCCTTGTGGCACGCCAGCTTTGATCTCCCTTAAGTCGGTGTACACTTCTTCTTGTTTTACTCTGAAATATCTATTCGCAATGTATGATTCCAAGATTTCTGAATACTGTTTAGGCATGAACGTTCTTAGTTTATAGTTTAAACCGTCATGCCAGACTTTATCAAACGCCTGTGCTACATCCAAGAAGATTGTAGAGCAGACTTTATTTTCTTCTAATGTTTTTTCTATTATATTCGTTATTCTGTGAACTTGATCTATAGTGGAATGTTGATTTCTGAAACCAAATTGATGATTTGGTATAAGATTTTTTCTTTCTATTATTGGTTTTAATCTTTTTAATAGAAGTTTTTCAAATAGTTTTGACATCACCGGAAGGAGGGATATTGGTCGATAGGGTGTCACTTCATTAGGAGATTTACCTGGTTTGGCGATCATAATTACTTCGGCTACTTTCCAGAGTGTGGGAACATATCTCAATCTAAAAGCAGCATTTATTAGGTGTGTCAGCTTAACTATGGCTTTTCTTGGTAGATTTTTTAATAATTCTCCTGTTATGAGATCATATCCTGGAGCTTTCTTAGGATTTATATTCTCTTTTATCTCTGTTGATACTTCTCTAAGTGATGTCAATGTTATTCTTTCGTCAGTTTGGAATGGTTCTTCCCATCTCAGTTCTTCACTATCATTATCGTTGGGTTTGAACGTGCTTTCTAAATGATCTGCAAATCGTTCTGCTTTCTGTTCGTTACTTCTAGCCCAGTTGCCGTTTTCCAACTTGATAGGAGGGGAATGAATAATTGGTCTCTTCAATCTTTTTGTTGCCTTCCATAAAGAATAATCTGTGTTCTCGTCAGCTGTTAAATTACTTAAAAAATAATTAATTGTTGAATTTTTTATATTCTGTATCTCCCTTTTTAGTTTTTGTGTAGCATTATTTAGACTAGTTTTGTCTCTTGGAACTCTGTATTGCTGCCATTTTTTTCTTAACTTCCTTTTTTCTACTATGAGTTCCCTGATTTCTTTTGGATAATTGTTCCCTTTTGTTCTAGAAGTTATTGTGGGAGTATTTTCCCAAGCTGACTGTTGGATATTTTTCATAAAAACTTCTAATTCTTCATCAAGTTGCCTCGTGTTTCTTAATGGAACAGCAAGATTAATTTTGTGTTCAAGGTTTATTTTGAAGCTCTCCCAGTCAGTTTTCTTATTAGTCAATATTGGATTGAACTCTTTTTTAATCACTGTATCACTCATAGTTAGAATTATCGGTGAGTGATCAGAGTTCATGTCCCAGCCGTCATTGATATCTAGATAGTTAGCTGAGATATTTTTGTAAATAAAGAAACCCATTTGTCAGGTAAGATAGTACTGTAACTCTTACAAACTAGGGATATTGACACTGGCAAATATTTCGTACTTTGATTATATCTATTCCATACGAAGAACAAATTGTTATTAAAAATAAGGGGCGTCATTTGCCTAAAATGTTCTGGCTTATAAATATTAGTGCGGGTAAGGGAAGTAATAGATCATTTTCAGATAATTGGTATATCAAGTACTCATGGCTTACCGGGAGTGAAATAAAAAAAAACAAACTTTTCTGTTGGTGTTGCATTTTATTTTCGACAAATAGGGGCAAACATCAAAATCCGTGGTGTGAATCTGGTTACGATAATTTAAAGGAATTATTTAGGGCTTTACATAAACATGATATTTCGAAAGATCATACTTACAGCCAGATTAAATTAGATTTATTTGGAAAACAAAATATCTATGTTTCATTAGATAATGCCCAACTTGAAAATGCTATTAAACATAACGAAATTGTAAAAAATAATCACACAGTTTTACGTTGTTTAATTTATATTGTAATTTTTTTAAGTTGTCAGGAATTATCTTTTAGGGGACACGATGAATCGGAGCATTCGTTAAATCAAGGTAATTATAGAGAACTAATAAAAATGTTTAAGAAATACGATTTGGAATTGTCTAATTTACTTTCTGATTCGAAGATATTTAGCGGTGTATCTAAAACAATCCAGAATTAATTAATAGAATCAATTAGTTACATTTTGAGTAACGATATTGAATCTGAGATTCAGGAAACCATTTGCTTTTCACTAGAAGTAAATAAAACTACCGACATATCATGTCATTCACAATTATCAATTGTTGTTCGATACGCGTTACGTGGTAATATCTATGAGAGGTTTTTTAGGTTTTACAGACGTGAGTAAAAGCCATAAGGCAGAACATATTTTTGGTGTTTTAAAGGACAGATTAAAATTGTTTGATATCAAAAATAAATTGGTAGGGCAAACTTATGACGGCGATGCCGTGATGTCTGGCGAATTAAATGGTCTCCAGGCAAAAGTTAAAATTATTGCACCGCAAGCATTATTTACTCATTGTCATGCGCATAGAATGAATTTAGTTTTGCAATATACATGTAAAAAAATTAAAGAATGTCTTTTTTTGCCAGTTTAAGCGGATTTGCTTCATTTTTCTCAAGCTCCCCTAAACGGACTAATGTTTTAGAACAGTTTGTTTCGAAAAAAATGCCAACAGTTTGTCAGACGCGATTTTCGTGAACAGCTTTTGGAAGTTTTTGATTTTATTATTGAATGTGACGATTTTGAAAGTGATGATATCTCGATCCGTGAAGCAATCGGTTTGAAAACTTTATTAAATGATTACTCTTTTAACATACTTTTAAATATTTTTAAGAAAGTGTATACCCAAACCGATTTGATATTCAATGTTGTTCAAAATCAGTTAACTGACATTATTCATTCCAAAAATAGAATAACAAGACTGGTGCAAAATCTCAGACATTTTCGTAATGATAGTAATTTCCAGTATATATGCAGTGACGTTTTAGACTCGCTTGATATTTCCAAACCCCCCCAAAAAAGACAAAGGCATGACACAGAAACAGATCTCGAAAAACGAGTATATTTTGAAATTTTGGATACTATTATTATGCAAATAGATACTCGTTTTTCGAATTTTGAACATTTGCAAATTTTTGACCTCTTTGATGATTCAAAATTTAAAAGTTACGCCAAAGAATTTCCAAGATATTTATTAGACAGGTTAATTAAAAATTATCCATCATTCTTTAATAAAATAAAATTAGAAAATGAATTAAAAGTTTTATATGCTGATTCAAATATTTTCGGAAGATGGGATAAGTTACAAGATATGTATAATTTTATTTACTGCAATTCATTACAACACTGTTACCGAAATTAATAAATTATTGTCATTAATTCTCTCATTACCACCAACGTCTGCCTCAAATGAACGAGATTTCTCTTGCCTCAAAGAATCAAAACTTATTGTCGAAATACCATGAAACAAGAGAGAATGTCAAGCTTGTCTCAAATGTCAATAGAAAAAAAACTTAAAATCTCTCCAAAACTCTAATAAATTTTACTATGATCTTATAACCCATTTTGCTACTTCCAAACAACCTAGACTAGAGTTAATTTATATACATGTTTAGGTTCTAAATTTATAGGAAAAAACAAAAAAAAAAAACAAGAAAACAAAAAATCTCCTATGATGATTGAAGTCTTTATTAGATGGTATACCTATCTGAGGAGACAAAAAATACCTTGCCGACCTTGTCTCTCAAGCCATGAGTCGCCACTGATTCTTATATTGTAGAATATGTCATAATTTTTAATTTGATTGTGATTGTAAAAAAATAGTTTTACCCTTCATTGTCAGAATTTTACATGTGATTGTTGTGCTATTTGATATGTTGCATTACTTGTGAGTAAATAACTATTGTATTATCTTTTAAATAAAAAAAATTACACAGTTCTTGTAATTTTAATTTTTTGGATTTTTTACATTTGTATGTTCTTGTATGAAAAGGCACCAAAATGATTTGCATGGGATACTCAAAACTCTAGAAACGGCCCTGGTTGAAATGAGCTGAGCATATTATTTCCAGTTAGTGTTGAGTATAATGATCTTCGACCGAACTGGGGGGTAGATAAATACCACTAACAGTAAATTCTACACCAAAATAATTACATACAATAGACAAATATCTGTTTAAAGTGAATTGAAGAATTAAGTATTTACTTTTCTTTTGCTTAATCCTTTTGGGGCTTTTTTACATATGTAATAGTGGAATAAAAAATATTTTTGGGAAGATTTAGATACATATTTCCTCTAAAGTGTGGCATCTAAAAGTATATTATTATATAAGTATAATATAGGATTTTGTTAATTTCTTTTTCAAAACTTAGTTCAAATTGATAAATGAGATAAGACAATCGAATAAGTAACACAGATCAGCAAGGTACCCTCCCTCCCAATACTGCTATGCTAAACTGTTCATTTTTTTTTTCAGGGTTTGAACCATGAATCCACTAGACTACTCACAGTGAACTGTGTGCTTTGCCCCTGCTTGGCTATCTGAATGAATTTTATTAAATATACAGAATGTATATAAAGGCTACAATTAAATTACCATTAAAACCATAAATAATACAATTTTTTGACCAGGTGAAACACTTCCTATCTATGGCATTGGGATCATGGAACCTCTGTACTATTTTTTTAAAATAATTTTACCTCTTAATCAATAAAGACCATGTATTTTTTTAATCATAAAGACTGGCTTCTTTAATAAAAGGTATTTTTATTCCTAAGTATCAAGGATGTAGTAAAATTAAAAACTTACCAAACTATTAGCATCTAATCCAAACGTTTCATTGTCGTCAGTTAATTCAATTGGTTTAGGGCATTTTCTAACAAACCATCGGTCAAGATTACGCTGTGACTCAGAAGGATTTTGGTCCACACACACAGTAGAAAGGATGGTTTGAGTTTTAGCAGGGCTAGGAGCTATTAGCCCTAACAAAAAGCATGCTATTTGGCAAGCTAGAAAAACACTAATTAATATACTTAATTTTTTGCCGCTAAGATTTTCCAAAATTGTTCCCGGCATGTTGCCGATTAATTCCTATTTTACTCTTTAAAACTTTTCTTTGGTTGCCGTCGGTAAGCTTTGACTTTTTTTAATGAAATGTAAACAAAACACAAAACAAAAGATAAAACAGTGACTGCAGGTGCAACTTCCGGGAACATAAGCAATTTAAGTGTTGTTTTGACAAACACATTAACTCTATATTTAAAAATCCATTTTTTGAACAACAAACGACTTAGTATTTCTTCGATATATTTACAAATTTTAATTACAATGATTATAGTTGTAAATTATTTAAAAATTACTTATTTACTGAAAGAAAAGACATCTCTTGTACGTCTTTGATCAAACGGTTGAGTTTATGGAGTTTCACATTTGGTACCATTGAAGATAGCCTCAAATTAGCTGTCAATTAAGGTTCACAGAACGAAATATTGCGTTGGCAGTGTTGCCATGTTCTTATAATGTATATGTTATATGCTTCAAATACAAAGAGAGATAAAGCTTTTAAAAGGTACATTTTTATCATATTATTTTATGGATTCTGCAATTTTATACCTTATATAAAATATTAATGAAGTAATATTTGTTTCGTTTGATATTATTTGTAATAAATTATTAGAATTTTTTTTTTTGAAAATTGCCCTTTGATAGGTTAGTGGATATATTTGGCAATAGAGTCAAAACCCACAAACCACCAGCTGCCAGATTGCAACGGATGCCGTTTAAATTTTGTTATTTATACTGACATTTTACTATTTACTGTTAAAAACTGTTTTAAAACTATTTACTTTTTCTTTTTTTCGTAATCGCTAAATATTAGTTTTTAAATATCTTATTGCTTTTAATTCCTTATGTTTAATTTGTAATGTAAATTTCAACACTGCGAAACACCAATATTTCATTCTGTCAAACCCATTTGAAGCTATCTTCAATGGGACCAAATGTGAAAATCGTCCTCATAAAACATATAAACAAAATGTATTTTTCTATAGCTTTATTTTTTTTATTTGAAGTATATAACATCTATAATTCTAAAAACATGTCAACACTGCAATACCGAAATTTGTTGTTCCGTGTTTGACATTTGCGGCTATATTCAGCTTGTACTTTCGGTAAACTCAACCGATCAAACATATAAGCAGCTGTAGAAGACTCGCTTGTTATATATATATATATATATATATATATATATATATATATATATATATATATATATATATATATATATATATATATATATATATATATATAATCTAGTTTACACTCTGCTTCAAGTTGATATGCATTGGTCAAAGGATGAGGATAAAGAAGTGCACATTATAAGAAAAAGCATGAGCTGACATAGATTTATATTTATAATTCATAATAGTGAAGAAACCGCTACATCTATTTCAAACTTAATACATGGACGTCAATCTAAATTTGCCTTACCAGATAAATCCAGACTCGACAATACTGACCACATTTCAAAAAGAGACGATAGTCCATGAATGTAGGATGTGTAAAAGTAATACTATTTAAAAGTAAAAGTCAAAGGTATAGAATGCATCTACACTCCAAATATATCTGAAATTTTCACCTTAAAATTTAATTTACATTTAAGATACAATATGGGCCTTTATTAAAAATTGTACTGTTTTCCTTGAAAATGAGAAAAGCATCTTTTTGGTTCTAAATCAGTCTTAATTTATGTAGTTTTAATCCAATCTAATAAATTAATTGTCAAATTTCTGTTTGTATATTGAGCGGCCGTTAGTGGGTTAATACTATATAAAGAATAAACTTGCCTCAAATTTACTTTACTTACCTCAAAACTATTTTAAAGTTAATAATAAAGTCTATTTAATAAATATATTCCCAAGAAATAGAACACACTACGCCTATGCACATATATAATATGGAATCAATACACTAAAATATCATATCTCTCTCATTACCATTCTTTCTAAGAACGTAAATATGTATAGACCAGCAAAATATTGGTAAGTTTACCGATGTTTCAAACTATTCAATGAACTTGTCTCACTATACACTCGTGAATCGCACCAATTTATATTGTTTTACTAGGGGCAAATTTATCTTACTTTTTCACTTACTTACATGGGTGAAGCATACACAATAAAAATGACCCCGGTAAGGATTTACTGCTGAAATTTTACAGGGTTTGTAGTTTGAAAGTTTACATGGTTTTGCTGTAGTTTGTACATTGTTATATATCTTCCTTACTATTGTAAACAGGTACTAATATACTGCTTCTCGATTCGCCTGGTATTTATCCAACTTCCATTAAAATCTATTAAATATACTTGTTAGCCCACTTGCTCCGGTTTCGCCAGTATATTTAATACAATTATGGAAGTTGGACAAATGACAGATGAATGAAGAAGCATTATATTATAAGTACCTATTTACATAAACAAACTTTTTTTACTACACCGACAATTAATAGTCCTTATACATTAGAATGCCAATGGAAAATAAAGCAAATAAAATTAAAAATCATTTATTGCAGTTTAATAAAATCTAAACATAAACATAATACTTTTTGTGAACTAATCAGAGTATTTGTACATATATCATTTTTAAACAAATTTGTGATCTGTTTAAACTTATATTTAGAACTAAAAATTGTCCTTATTCTTGATGTCCACAAAATGTTTTTAATATGGAGTTCTAAAAAAAAAAAATAATATTAGTATAACTGTTGAAGTATATAGGTAGATATGATAAAAATTAAAACTATTGTTTTTCTTTGCTACATCACTCCTACGATATAATTTTCAAATTTGGCACTATCGACCATCTACAAATACTTCCTGTATAAGACAATGGGGTCAGACAAATGGTTTTTATTACGCTTGGTCCAAATTAGAGCTATATTGTGGGACAAAATTTAGAGAAACGCCACTGGGAGCTAACGTTAATCTGGAAGAAAAAAATTTATTAAAAATCCTTTATAAAAGGTATATCATTTAAAAAACCCAATCGGGCTATATCACAAAACGTTTTCGGAATCCATATTCTATCATCAGTGTCTAGATGTACATGTATTGAGCCACTAAATATCTGGGTAAAAACCCGTTAAAAGTTATCTGTTTAAATTTAGTTTACATTATATGGTATTACATATTAGGATGTTAAAGTTACCAGTGGATTTGGTTACATGGCGACGTATGACTCCACATGCAGTTGCTGGTCCTGAGACGATAAAAGTTAACTAGTCCAGATATTTAGTGGCTTATTACATGTACATCTAGATTGTGGAATATGGATTCCGAAAACGTCTGTGATATAGCCGGATTGTTTTTTTTTTAATTATATACCTTTTATAAAGGATTTTTAATAAATTTTTTGTGATACATGGTATACATCTAACTACAGGAACTTTCTTGTTGGATGTTGTGGATTTTAGAAGAAAAACTTATATGTGTGTTTAGGGCTGTCCTAAACAGATATAAAGATGTCCGTTTATTGAAGCTCCGTTCTCCAGCAAAAAAATAGACGTCTACAAGAGATAATCATTAAGTTTAATAAGCATAGAGCGTTAACTTTTATTTAACTTCCACGCAGGGTTGGATCTCCACCTACATCCATGACCTAAACAAGCCAACACGTCTTGGCAAGCGCGGCAGGTTTTAAAATCACGCCAAACACCCCCTAAAATAAAATGGAAATGTCATTATCTCAAAATGAATTACCCTAGGCGAGTAGGAAAATATTTCCAGAATCTTGCACTAAGCTGCTGTCTTTCCCACGGATTCTGGGGGGACAATATTCTAACAATTCTTAGCAACAGAAGAAATAATCATACATATGGAAGTAGAAATGTCGAAAATTAAATGAAATGTGATCGGCGTTAGCGAGGTAAAAAAGAGGAGAGTTTGAAAAAACTGAAATCGGGTCACTTGTTTTATCAGGTCGGTGGTGAAACTGAATCAACGGAGGTTGGCTTTTTAGTACACAAAAAACATTAAAACAGCATTAATTTAGCCCTAAAAGATACAAAAGCACATTTTACCATAATATGTGGCAACTTCAACGTTAAAACGGGGGGAAAGGCAGATAGCACAGAAACATTACTGGGAAAATTTGGTTTGGGAAACAGAAAGGAGCGTGATGAAACTTTACTTAGTTTCCTGCCGGAAAAAATCTATTCCAAACGAACATCTTCTTCTATAAAAAAGAACATCGGAGAAGGATGTGGTATAGCCCGAATGGAAAAACTAAGGAGATAGACTTTATGACCACTAACAAGATGCAACAGTTTTCAACAGGTAGCGAACATAGAATGGTAAAAGTGTCATTAGAAATAGACCTTAGGAAAGAGCGATACCGCATGATCAAAAAGAAGTCTACATATACCTGGACAGAGCCTAATAATATAAATGCACTTGAAGAATACATTCTCGAAAGCAATAGGATACAGACTAAATGACTGGTAGTGGACCAAAAAAATTACACTGTGGAGACCACGAGCTGACATAAGAAGCAAAGGTAGAGCATCTGCACGATGGACGGATGACGTCAAAAGAATCGGTGGAAATTGGCTGCAGGAAGCACAAGACTGAAGAACTGGAAGAAATTAGGGAAAGCATATGTTCAACTTTGGAAGAAGAAGGCTGGATGATAATGATGAAGTGATATGAAAAGATAATATTCAATTATCCTAACTTCAAAACCTTTGCTCTGCTGCTTCTTATAACATGGCCAAAATATGAAGTTTTTATCATTTTTATGTTACATATTCCCTCGATACCTAACGGTAGAAGAGGAACGACTATTTATGTGTATGTATGTTACATATTAATTATATTTCTTTATTAAACCTTTAAATAAGCTCCTCGTTGCTTGCGTGATCCTTAAAGCTATTTTAAGAGTCTTCTAATTATCAACATTAATCTAACATCTAAACGTATACCTATTAAGTAAATAAAATAAGCAATCAACTTGGATTGCAAATAATCGTTATAAAAATAAGATGATGACTAATTTGGTACCAAAAGATCAATTACTACTAGTGATATATGATATATTATAATAGACTACAACTATTATTTATATTTAAAGGAAATCAACAACGAAATGAAGATGAAAGCTTTATAACACCACAAGATATGTTAAAAAAGAGGTATAATATACAAGGTTTTGAAAATAAATCTACCCAGTTTCCGTATCTAATGAGCCTGAATATGAAACTTAACAATGTTTGTTATTATTCACCAACTAATTACAACGAAATTATTAAAGCTATTGACGAAGCTGCAATAGAAGTTATTGGAGAAGTGAATATTATAAAGAATGAATGGCGGAAAAAACAAATAGAAGATCTTTTGGTAATGAAGAAAGATATGTTAATATAATTAATAAGATATTAATAGTTAAGATAATTAATGGCTAGCAACAAAGAACATTTACGATCCACAACAAGACAGCAGCTTAGGAAAACACTTATGAGGTACTAGAATAGACAAAAAAAACTTAGTTCGTTAAATTTAATATCCCCGGAAACGTGGGTAGAATATTATGCAAAAATGCTGACATAAGTTCGAGCAGAAGGTATTTGCTATGAATATTTTGACTCCAGGACCGGGGAAGTACCGGTAGAACTGGTTAAATATGGCCCCGACAAACTATTTCAGTAGACCTATAAAAGTTATGAAAATAAAGACTTATAAAAATCGATTTTCTTTTAAGGTATGTAAATAGAATTAATTATTTTTATTGTATAAGAAAATTACTTAATAAATTTGTTCTTTTAAGGAGAAAAAACGATTTCGTTTGCTAACCAAGATCAATCCAGAATTTCAACATTATATACATTTAATTTATTCTTGACAGGCGAAGAGAAGAAGGAAAACTGCATATATCAGAAACGTTTACAAGGATAAAGGCGACAAAAGGATTGTAAGAATTACCGAGTGAATAGCGTAATCAACTCAAAATTTGTGAGATATATGGCAAGATAATTAAAAACTGAATTGAAGATTGTTAAGAAGATATTGCAGATCAAAGAGGCTTTCAAACTAGTCGATCTCGACGTATAGACAATGTGTTCTGTCTAAAACAATAGAAATACACTTGGAACACAATATGAAGACACATATGATCTTTATTGACCTTCGATAAGCGTCCCATTAACCAAGCTGGGGCAGGTGCTAGAAGACAAGAATAGATGTCAAGTCAGAAATAGAGACGACTGGACAGGGAAATTTCAACTGAATGATTCTTCTTACAATGCCGTCTCCCTACGGAGGTTGGCAATCATAATGGCTATTTTTATTTTAGAACTTGCTGCTCTAAACAAATCAATCGATCTGCATTGGTACCAATCACGTAGATTCTTTAACCATGAGTTCTGCCTTCGGCCAACAGATCTTCTTCCTTGAATATTTCCCTGTATTATCAGTCTCAAAATTTTATATTTTGGTCCCCTCATCACGTGGCCTAGGTATTCCAGTTTTCTGGTTTGTATAGTGGTGATTAGTTCTGTTTCTTTACCAACCCTCTCCAGTACTTCTTTATTTGTAATTCTATATTTTCAATACTCTGCGGTATAACCAGAGTTCGAAGGCCTCGATTATTTTTAAATTACATTTTTTTAATGTCCAAGTCTCAGCTCCATAAAATAATATTAAAAATATATAACAGCGAATGGTGCGTAGTCTGATCTCCAAATTTAGATTTTTGCACGTTACGAGTGGCTTCATTCGTATAAATGCTGATCTGGCAATCTCTATTCGTCTGTTTATTTCTACAGTATGATCATTGGTTTCATTGATCAAAGTTCCCAAATACTGATATTTTTCTACTTGTTCTATCACGTTACCATTTATTGTCAATAGGCGATGTATATTTTGTGGCCTTTTTGTAATCAGCATGTACTTCGTTTTTTTAGCGTTTATAGTAATTCCCATATCAGCACTATTTATACTCAAGCTTTCAATAAGATGCTGTAGATCCTCTATACTCGTTGCTATGATCACAGTGTCGTCTGCATATCTTAAATTATTAATTAATTTTCCGTTAACGGTGACTCCCGCTTCGATATTATTGAGCGTGTTTTGGAAAATTTTTTCAGAATATAAGTTAAACAAAAGTGGTGATAAAACACATCCCTGTCTAACTCCTCTACAGATACTCATTTCTTCTGAGTGTTGCCCATCAATTTGAACTATGGCACTTTGGTTCCAATATAATGTTTACACTATATTTATGATTTTACTGTCAATGCGCTTGTTCATAAGCATTGATATTAGTTTTTCATGACTTTATCGAAAGCTTTTTCGTAGTCAACGAAGCACAAGTGCAGATCAACATTTACATCCCGACATCGCTGAATCAATATGTTGATGGCAAATAGTCCTTCTCGAGTACCCATTCCATTTCGGAACCCGAACTGCATCTCGCTAATATCCTCCTCTAGCCTTTCGTATATTCTCTTATGTATTATTTTTAGCAGAACTTTTAAAGTATGACTTATGAGGCTCAGTATTCGATAATCAGAGCACTCTTTTGCTGCTTGTTTTTTAGGAATGGTTATAAATGCTGACTTCAGCCACTCTTGTGGTATTATTCCCGTATCGTACACCATGTTGAATAAATCTGCCAATATTTCCAAGTTATCCTCTTCCACTAGTTTTAACAGTTCTACTGGTATTTCATCTAATCCAGTTGCCTTATTGCCTTTAGAGTTTTTGATAGCATATTTGATTTTATCTATCGTGATCTTCTGTATCTCTAAAGGATTTAATTCTTGTATTTTCTGCATTTCACCTCTTTCATCTTGGAAAAGTTCTCTAACGTACTCCTCCCATCGCCTTACTGAATGATACAACGAGGATATATTGATATAACCAATTAGACACCTTCCATTGTTGGTTAAGAAACTCAAAAATGCGCTGAGTCTTTCATTAGGAGGGACGGCACCAGAAAATACATGTTCGTGCGAATCTTGCCATTAAAAATCTATACTTTTAATTAGTCTTTAAACTCTACCGCAGAGAAAAAAATGAACTTAATTAAGCTATTTGAAAGAATATATTAAAGACAGATAAAATTAATAGAACAAGTATCTAATGAAACAAGACAATTAATGGATTATAAAATGTAGCAACAAAAAAACAATAATTCCATATAAATTTTTGTTAAAGAATAAACGTCACAACGGAGTTACATGTACCTACCCACTATATTTTGCTTAACATTTTTTAGTTTATTTTAGTTCCTAAGAATATCACAAAATAAAACATTTTATTCGCTCGAGCTTTGGTTTTCTATATCTTGATTATGCTCATTGTGGGGTACTGCTGGCTGTGTTTCAATATCATTCCACTCCTGTACTTCCCCCGAAGCAAATATAATGAAAAATATGTCTGTCACAAAATAGACGCAAGCCGCAATTATGAATATAATTCTCCAGTGTATTTGGTTAGTCTGAAAATGAAAGATATATATCTACCTGTTAAAAGTATATAACAGAAACATTCGGCCCTGTGATATATCATTTACGTAAATAATTACATATGAGTGTAAAATTCGGAAGACGTACAGAAGATTACAGTTTTCAAAACGTACCCTGAAAAAAAAAAACGGTATGATCCATCATGTCCTGTGTAGCTAACGGTTCTGTCACGTGGTGACAACTACCTATGTAACATACACAATACATGTTGGAACCTATGAATATTAATATTTTTACATGTAGCTGATAAACGACGGAATTGTCGCCACATTACTAGCTACAATGTGGAACATCTCTATAAAGAGCAGAGTTCAGCTGGCTCGGATGATTACATTCTGTGAGGATCCTTTGTCTCGACTTACAGAAGGATATCAACGGCGGATGGATAAGATGCGGCGGAACAATATTACTTGTATTTGCTGCCCCCCATTACTTGTAAAAAAATATGGCAACGAGTTCCAGAATACAGGAAATACCGGAATAGTTGGACGACGACCGCATCGGCAAAACAGTACAATGAATTTTGCAACATGGAACGTACATGGCAGATGGGATAAAACAGGAGACGTTATTAAAGGACTAGAACAACAAAAAATATTGATATAAGTTACGAATAATAATGGAAATAAACTTATAAACATGTACACAATTTATGTACATTTAAGTTTAATATAAACAGCTTTTACGTTGACAGTACCAGAAACCTACACCAGAACAGACTAGAAAAGAGACTTACTTATTGGTTTATATGTAAACAACGACACAAATATGCTTTATGCCCACTTATTAAAATTACTAAAGGGAGCTGCATACGAAGGTTAGGGCCAAGAAGAACGAACCCACTGACGAACAAATTAGCATGTTATGAGCGATGAGCTCGAATAACAGGAAACAGATAAAGCAACTACCTATTCATACATGGTTTACCTCCCAAGAAGTAGACGATAAAAACCAACATCGCAATCAACAAAGTATTTTTAAAACATTGATTATGACATAAAGATCAAACATGGTAATGAAAATGTGAGGGAATGGAATTATATCTAGGTGGAAGTAAGTCTTCGGACGTGAAGATTCATGCGAAATTTAAGGAAGGAAGACATAAATACAACGAACCCTCAACATAAAAATATTTAAAGTCACTTCGCAAAAGAACTGCAAGCATCCAGGCCTAAATATCTACAACAAACACCAAGAAGATATCAAATCCACGGACCAAGAATTAAAATCGGAGACGACCTGACTGCCAAACTTATAAAAACTATTAAGAAAGCTTGCTAATATGCTAACAGAACTTTTTAGTAGATACGTAAATGGAGATAATCTAACTGAAAGCTGGAAAAAGTTATGAAAACCCTAGTCGAAAACGGATTTCGAGCTGGACGATCTTGCATCAACTATATCTACACTTTAAATCAACTAAATGAAAAAAGAATGTCTAGAGATACACCAACTCTATTATTTGTATACTTAATGAAAGTTTAGGATACAATACCCCTATGTGGACTATACCAAATACTGGAAAGTTCATCTATAAAAAATATTACACTTGCGAAAGCCATACAACGATCCTACAACGATATTTGATCAAAAATAAACATTGACAAGCAGTTTTCCAACAATTTTTGGGGTAAATAAGGAAGAAAGACTGTAGTGGGTATAACATTAAACGGGGAAATAATCTTATATGAGCGGTTGAAAGCCAAAGTGGTACAAGTCACAAAATTTGCGAAAATCGAAGCAAAATACCTCGGAGTAATCATGGACAAAGGCTTAACGTTTAGTAAACACGTAGACGCTACAACACAAAAAACCAACATAGCAAGAGCATCAATAAGAGGTCTAGTAAGAAGAAAAAACAAATTTAGACTGAAAATAAAAATATGATTAATAAACAGTATAATTCTTCCTATACTAACATATGCATCTTTCTCATGGGGACACATTTGCAATACATCCAAAAAGAAAATACAAGCGGCACATAACAACAGCCTAAGAGAAGCAGTCAACGTACCGAGATACGTAGCAGAAAGATTCCTATTTAGATATATATATTAAACCGGTTTTATAGCGTTCTACGCCTTTCCGTTCCTAATCGCCACTCTTTTCTATTATGGCAGTGTTCATCTCTCAAATTTCGTTCCGACATTGCCTTGGAGATGCCTTTCATCCATGTGGTTACTGGTCTTCCTCGTTTTCGTTTTTCTGTGGGGGTCCATTCTAACACTTTCTTGGGGATTCTTCTTTCCTCCATTCGTCTTACGTGCCCGTACCATACTAGCTGTTGTCTTTCAATGTCATCTATGATTGTTCTTTCTATTTCCATTTGTTGTCTAATGTCGTCGTTTCTTATGTGTTCTAATCTAGATCTTCTTGCTGACCTTCTCCAAAAATCCATCTCAGTGGCTAGTAATTTATCCTTGTATTTCTTCCTATTCATTCCTATTCCTATTCATTCAATTCCTATTTAGATAATTACAAAAAATCAGAGTGACTGATACAATGAAAGAAAAAGCTAGGACAAAGTTTGCGGAGATAGAGAACCACCCTAGTCACATACTGCGAAAGATAATGAGGTACGACGCTTTCCATAGATGGAAGCAAAAAAGACCCAAACAACCAATAGTAGACTAAAATGGTAATACTAAAGAGAAAATCAACAATCACACCAGAGAGAAAACACTTCAAAAAACAACAACAACGCACAATGCAGATAGTTCGTAGCTCAAAACACTAGTGGACAATCGCAAAATATAACGTGCGCCCGGTTACCTTAAAAAGGACAAACTCTATATTGTTATATTGTCTCATATTAAAAAAAAAATTAAAAAAAAAACAAAAGGTCGACCTCGGCCACTAAAAAAATCAAAAAAATACTAACAAAAACCGGCACAAGCCGGGGAATATAGCGATAACCCGCTGTCCTGAGTTTTGAATTCGGTTAGGAAACTATGTTGGGGTTCTATTACCCAGGACCTCCACATGAAGAGCATTTGGCTAATAGTTGTGCCCCTATCGCGCATCAGAGTGCTATAGGGGGAAAAGGGATGGTCTGCATTGGAGCGCGGTGGAGTGACTCGAGTTAATACACCTCGCTCCAATGAATTATTACACCCGAACGTAATTCTTAGGGGTGAACATTTCTCACAGGCTGGGTTTAATTAAATTGCTTGCTTGCTTGAAAGACAGAGTGGTACAAGTCAGTGGCTGCGTGACATATACCACTGTTGCATGTAACAGATTTTAGTAGTGTGTTTGAAATCAGTTTACTTTAAGAGCGACAAGGTCTGAAATATGAGTTTTAGTGAATCTGAAATAAAACCTTTTCGTGGTAGTGAGAGTGAATATGAACCGGATAGATTGGATAACTCAAAGTCATCTTATCTTCAGGTACACATACTTATTGTTTACATTTAACATAATACATATCCTCTAAATTATTTTAGATGAGAAACAAAATATTTTATCTAATGGGACATCAGGTTCGCAAAGTCAGCTTGAAAGTGGTAACAAAAATAAACTCGTTGGATAAAAGGGTTTGTAGGACAGTATTTGAAAACTTTTGGAAAATGGACGATTTTTCTGCACAAAATGCATTTGTTTCTCGTTTAGTAACAATCAGTGCCATTAAAAATCGACGTTCTCCTGATCAAATTAGAAATATTATTAGAAGTACCACAAGTATGTATTTTATAAATACTTTAAATATTTCACACAATCTTTGTAAACAATACTTTTTGCAAACGTTTCAAATTTAGAATAGTCGACTTGAAAGAACAATTCAACGTTCACGTTTTTCCAAGAAATAAAACTCCTGAAGAACATGATCAATATGTCATGTTCTTCAGGAGTCCCGAGTTATGACCCGAAGTCATAATCCGAATAGAAAATAAATCGATGCCAGTCTGAACATAAGATTTATGTACAATCTTTAAGGAAAAATGCTCAACAGTAAATATAAGTCCAGTATCGGAAGCAATGTACCGAAATATATTCCATCGTGATTTTAATATACACTTTCATAGAGTCCATCTAAAGACATATGTGTGAAGTGTGACACATTTAAGGCAAAACTAACGTGTGTCACCAAAGAACAGGAAAATGCTGATCTAAAAACACAGCATGCGTTGCATCTGTTGAAGGCTTGTATGTATGTACAGCGTTAACAGGCCTTTTAGGCCCATTGCTGGATGGATAATTTCCATCGTTTTCTATCCTTAGTTAACAGCTTCCAATCTCTGATTCCCATCTCTCTGACATCTTCCATCACTACATCTCTCCATTTCTTTCTTGGTCTTCCTCTCTTTTTTTGCCCTCAGGTACTCTCCAAGTAATATTCTTGACTAGTCTATCACCTTGCATTCTTTCTAGATGACCAAGCCATTCTAGTCTACGTTTTTTTTACCACTTTTGTTATTGTAGGGTTAGCATACAAATGATACACTTCTGCATTAGTTCGTCTTCTCCATTCTCCCTCTACTACTTTTCCACCAAATATTCTGCGAAGAATCTTTCTTTCCCATGCTTCCAATGTATTCTGTATGGTTTTGTTCATAGTCCATGTCTCGGCAGCGTATAGCATTGTGGGTCTAATTATAGTTTTATATACTCTTATTTTTGTATTACGAGATATATCTTTGGCCTTAATTATTTTGCTCATGGCTCCAGCACACCTGTTGCTCTTGGTCAGTCTCAGGTTGATTTTAGTTTCTTCCTTACATGGCTGATCAATAAGAGTACCTAAGTACATATATTCATCCACCTTCTCGAATTCTACAACTGATCCATCCTCCACCTCCAATTTAAAGGATTCCCTGGTGTTTATTCCTTTTTTGCTCGAGATCTCCATGTATTTCGATTTATTAATATTAATTTTCAGTCCCATTTTAGAGCTTTCCCGAATCAATCTTTTTGTTATATTTGATAGCTCTTTTCTATTTCCACGACGAAAATAAGTTCCTGTAGTTGGCTG